CCCCCTCCCTTACGCCGGCATTGTTGTCACACTCCAGCCCGCAGCCCAGCGGTCAGGCCCCGGGGCGGAAACTCACCGTGCAAAGCCGAGGCCTGGAGTATTGCCCCAGAAGTGCCGTCGATGACTTTGATGCTGCCCCGGCTTGTGACGGCCAGGATGGCGTTGAGGGCCGGGTGATAGGAGAGGCTGCGCAGGCCCACCTCGTCGCAGCGCAAGCAGCCGTCTCTCAGTACGATCCAGTCGGAGGAGGTGGAGGAGCAGGAGCCCGGCGAGGCCGCGGCCGCCATCTTTCTTTATTTCTCCCTTCCCCTCTCTCTCTTTCAGTCTCGGGGAGCTCCGATGTTAAGGGTGGGTGTAAAAAGACAGAAGGCTGAATCCCAAACTATCGCTGGACTACCACTGCTGGCGCTCCTCCTCCCGAGAACGCAGTAGCGGCTATTCACCATCAGGGCTGGGCAGCCGAGGGCTCCTCTCTTCAGCACACAGATGGCAGGTAAACGGAACTAGCGTAGCGCCAGGTCCCCTCCGCACCGCTAGGGGCGCCGTAGCTTTCAGGAGGCGCTTGAGAGACGGCCGGTGAACATTTTAACTTTCTATCGTACAAGTGCTCCTGTTTTGAGGTCCCGGAGAATTGAGCGAAAACGAAAGTCTGTGCTGTCAATGTGCCTTTGTGTGCTTTGTGTGTATTTGCCTCTTTGCTGTGCCTGACGTGATGATCGCAGTGTTTGGCACGTTAAATTGTCCATTTTCTACCAAAGGCTTGGAGGCACTGGAAGCTTAATGTTTTAATCGCAGCATTAAGCCGCATAATGCAATTACACAGTTTAGTGATTCATAATGTTACTAGACGAGACTTTTTTATATTTGACTTGCCTCAAATCGAACAGACGAGCTTCCCAAAACATTAAATAACATTACCTGGGTTCAGTATTAGAGGTTCAGTTTATCTATCCATAACATCTGCACCTCAATTCAAATATCTCCAAGTATTTTTATGTTAATAGATTAGATACGTACTGTATACGGAAATCCCTTACTTCAAAAGTGAAAGCAATTCGCATTTATCTTTGCATACTAAGTAAGGTAAAATAGTGTAACGCCCCGGGGTAAGATAAAGTAAATTACAGACTTGATATTACAAATAATGCATTTTTAAAAGTGAAATTTGGACACCTGGTCGTTTATTTTTTAAATGTTCTCTAACTCATTGGTTTTGGAATCGCTATCATCTCTTAAAGCTCCAAACACGTCTTGCTTTACTCTCGATATATTCCTATTCTCTCATTCTTCTTGAATGAGTAAACAAGGCACATGCTCCTGGATTATTGATGTTATGAGTATTTCAGGAAATCCCTGTGGAATACACTGTGGAAACTAAGACAGTCCCTCTTAACCCATTAACACGATGGATTCTTGCTCCATTGCCTTTTTCAGTTTCAGCTCACTGCGTACGTTTTACCTAGCCCTTTAAGTTAAAACAGAAAATTAAAACAGAAGAGATTATATGGTTATTAAACCATGAGGTAATTCCAAAAACATGTAAATGACATGGTTTGAAGACTATGCATTTGTTACTTGAAACTAAACAAGCTGATGAGAAACAACATGCTCACAAGATCTGATCCCCGAATAGTCTTGGGTTGTTACTAGTGCTGCTAGTTGTTGTTTGAGGCCTAAATAATCCACGACCACAATGCTCCATTATTCAAAGTTAGATTTATGCTTTGTCCAAAAAACATCCTTGATGTTATCAATCCATGGTGTAATCTGGGCTGAGATCAATAAACTGGGTTGAGGTTGCAGACTTACACACTGATGTCGTACACAGCGTGAGACCACATGATAATCAAATGTGGGTTTCTTGTTTGTTTAAAAAGTACAACCATTTTTTCATATGCATCTTATTTTTAATTATCTACATAGGAATGAGAGACTCGATTTATACGTCATGTACCCAGAAGGAGATTTTATGTTTGCCAGTAAATACATCATTCATTTTTGATTCAGGATTTTAAGGAAGATGTATTTACTTGTGTAATACATGTTGAACTTCCCAGACATATAATTCCATTTAATATTCTACCATAGTAATCAAATAAATAACATTTGTAAAACACTTTTATTCTTATGTAACTCCAATTACAAACAAGAAGATTAATACCAATAGATAATCTGACCAAACCTGAAGTAGTCAAATATTAAATAAAAATAAACAATACTAATAGTCAGTTAGGATAATTAAATCAGATGTGCAGTTATATGGAGTATATGGAGTTGCAGATTCATCATTAGTAGTCATTATCACATAGTCATAATGACAAAATATGACTGCTTAATTTGAGATTCTCTGATTTGTTTAATGACACACTAACTTTCCAGGAAGATATCAAATTGATTAAGGGCACCAAGACTTTAGTAAGACTTTACTAAAGATTTAATTATCTAAGGTTTTAAGTCCCGTCTCAATTGTCAACAGTAATATACGCATGACTTGCATAAAACACAGTTCAGAACATGCTTGTTGATATTCACCTTATTATAGGTCCCTTGTTTCTATTCTAAATGAATCAGACTGTAGATCTCAATCATTTGTTTTATTTACAAAAGGAAAATTAATTATTCTCCATGATCCCGATTCTTGTTTAATTCTAGAGTTAGGAATATTAAAACTTTAGAAACTCTACCGTACTTTTGAATAATACGTGTAAAATAAAAGAGGCAAGCTAGGCGTTTCTCATGTCCATAAGAAGGAAGAGACAGTCAAAAGGTAAATTAAACAAACACACAAGTTTTTTTTATTTAAAAAGTGCATTTGATTAAAAAATAATCTGTGAGATTTAAGGAAAATATAAAGGTGCATGTGTAAGGATATACCCAAGAATTAGTTTTGAGATGGACTATTCTCCTGAATCCCTGCTTTGAATAAGATAAAGCTCCTAATCCAAAGGAAAAGCCCTCAGCAAATTAGTATATTTCCAGAGATAATTATATATAATACAATGAGTGTTTTATAGTGTATTTTCCTTTTATTTAGGTTTTTTACAAATGTACATCTATAAAATATTAATAATATACTGGTAACAACCATATAACAGAAGATATGAAAGGCACCCAAATGTTTTTTTTTCTCACAAACTACCCAATATCATCTAGTTGGACAAACATGTACAAATTAAAAGAAGAATCTAGTAGAACGATGCATGAAAAATGGATATACCACTAATGTTAAATTCTAAATTTCAATTCAGGTTAATTGAAACCTCCAAATACCGAAACAGAAAACAAAAGATCAGAGCTACATCTGAAATAGCTGTCTTCCCCTTAAGTCCAAAACAGAAAGAACTGCACTGCAATAAGGTGTTTCTGTTGCTTTTGGCACAGGCTTTCCAAATGAGAACTGCTAAATCCTGAAAGGTTTGTTAAGAGTTCTGAATATCACCTGGGTTTAACAAAAGCCTGTTTTTCATACAAAGCAAATTAACATGGTGCAGTTCCCTTTTAAAACCTCTGTACCTTGCAAAAATAACCACTTTCACTTTCTCTATAATTCAGAAAGCTGAAAAACTGAGGTTTTTAAACAAATCCTACATCTTTTATTAAGTACAAAGTTCATAGCTACATTTCATCATTAAATACACTGTACATTTTTCCTTTATGACCTATGAATGACCATGATTGTGAACCAAGTTGTATTGTAAAATAATAAAACAAAGCACATCTTCATGGTCCTTCTGAGAAGTTATTTGCCACTTTGCGATTCGGTCATCAATTCTCAGTGTGTTACACAGTTCCAAAGCAGACTGGCCAATTTTCAGACACCAGTATACAAGGATAGGAAGTAGATATACAGAAGGAAAATTGGGTATATAAGAAGTGGCTTCTTTGTCTTGAATTCATCCCCTACTAGCAAGGAAGCAGCACTGTACGCAGCCCAGAATACTCCAAAGAGCTGAAAAGGGGGAAAAAAAACATTGCATTATTCAACTGTCACCAGTAAATAAGTTCACATGAATGTATTTACCAACTCGGACACAAATTTGCACCCATTTCTACAGCTGGGTATTGTACTGGAGCAATTTGAGTGAAGTAGAGTGCTCAGCAGCACAAGAGCAGCATCTCACCTGGGATTTGAACCCACAATCTTGCAGTTACATGTCCAGAACCATGACCACTTCAGCACAATGCTGCCCATGTACATAATTCACATGTTCTGTCAGTAGCAGCTCCTACATATTCTGCCTCTTGAACAGTACTGTATGTCATTGTCCATCCATTATCACAGAGCGGAAGGCTCAGAGAGGGACTGTGTCCTAGGCTGCACACCACTCGATCCCAGGGCAATTTAAAGAGCTCAATGAGCCAAATCACACCATGAAGCACGGAGGGATGCATGCAAACTCTTTTTATTGTGATGTGGTCAGGCTTACCTTTATCAGTGTAGACACCACTTCAAAGGCCCCAACCACCAAGAGCAGCGGCGCTATGACAATGAGCGGCAGTAAGGAATAGCCAATGACTCCAACAACCTGGCCATAAGACACCTGGCAATCAAGGCAGAGCACCCGGTTAGAAGAACTGTTCGGCCATCTTCCTCCAGCTGCTGCCTCAGTCGAGAGACTGCACAAGACGTGTGTTTTCTGAATAAGTATCTCAGTAGCCCTCGTGATTTAAAATTTTGTTCCCCAGGACCTCATGTTTAAAATATTTTCCCTGTTGGAATGGTGGGTTCCCAGGTGGCTCAGCCAGTCAAGGCACTGACTCAGGGCACAGACCGAGCACCATGGTCCTGACGTCACAGGTTCGAGCCTGGGCATATCTCCAGTTCCAGGAGTGTTGCCGGGGTGGGGTTGGGTATTAGTCAGCCCGGGCTCAGCTGTGACTCCAGAGGGCTTCAGTCAGAACCAGCTCTCCTGGGAGCTGCTAGGGGTGAAGGGCAAACAGCTCTGTGGGAGGAGCAGACCTGCGTGTCTCATTCTCTCCTGTGCTTATATACGTCTTACATACAAACATATTAGTACACCTTCCTATGTGTGTATACAGTATATATCACAGTAGCCCTAAATCCAAGTCGTATACAAACGGAAATTCCTAAAATTAGTATAAATCAAAATCACTGAGTATTCCAAAACTGGAAAAATGTGCAATTCCCAGATGCAGAAGAAAGCAAGGCAAGTTACCTTTAATGTGAAACTACAAAATATTTTGAAATCAATTACATCCTCTGGATAAAATGTTTTGTAGTTGTTCTACAATTTACACCCAGCCGATCTCTCCAATTTTTAGTAAAGGTGATAAGGTTAAGTACAGCCATTACTTACTTCACCACCAAGAACTCTTGCCAGAAGAAAGATTGTCAGAGATCCAAATATCCATATAGTAATAATCCAGGACACCACCTTTGAGAACAGCAAATTCTTTTAGTACCTACATTTGTAAATTCCTATATTTAAGAAACATATAAATAAGTACAAAAACATCTGGCTGAACATTTACTTGATGCAAGCTGCTACCTAAGGTTGCAGATTTATTTTAGTATTAATAAGTGCTTACTCAGAAGACTCTTATTTTGATATCAGTTGTAAAATATAAATAATACTTGTTTCCTTCCGAGCACTGATATCTAGATTATTAGCATAAGAAATAAAGCAAAAAGCAAACAATACAAATTTTGTTTTCGTATGGTTTCAGGGGAAAATTGGTTAAGATGCCATGCCATTCCTGAAAATACTTTTCTTTCATTTTTATGGTTGATGGAAATGTTTCACTCTTGGCTTTTGGATACTGGTTAACAGATTTTAGTATCACTTTGATTAATTGATCATTCACGACTAATCATTGTGGCATAAGCATCAACTCAGTGGTAAGAGAACTGGCGATGCAAAGGTGAAATTTGTGAATCTGTTGCAGTTAGAAACAATAAATTGCTTTTAATCCTCCTTAAAATAATAACTTTATCTATTTAAAACCAATAAAACATAATGTCAACAAGACCACTCTTTAAGGAATAATTACTAATATACCCCAGCCTACTTTCGTCTATGAGATATGAGAATATATTTTTTCCAAGATAACAGATGACAGAGGTAAGAATTTTAATGTTTTCAAGGCAGACCTATGAACTGAAGAGCTTACAGTTGTGCAGCATCAGTGCTGTCTAATTCAGTTTAACTCACCCTGAACTGGCCGTACAGCGAGATCATGGAAAAGAGGAGAACTACAGCCAAGGGCCCCCAGAAATCGGGGTTATCCCTCACCACCTGCCGATTAAAGCCCAGGGACGGCATGGGCATCAGCACACAGCGGATCTTGTAGTAGATATCCTTCAGGTCGATATCGAGCTCCTCTCTTCATTCAAGGGGAAAAAAAACACAGAACACCACTGCATCATTACGAGGACAATCACATCTAAATCCAAGAACAAAACTAAAAGGGAGTGCATTTAAAACCAAGGACGGGAGGCACTTCTTTACACAAAGGGTTGTGGGAGTTTGGAACAAGACACCCCGCAATTACCCAATTAAAACCCCTTCCCTCAAGAAAAAGGTGGATAATATCTTCAGATCAACTACTAACAAACCAAAATTCTCCTTCCCTCTTCTTTCTGAAAGTCTTTCCTTCTGGAAAGCCAGGAAACTACAGGTCTCCCTGTCTGATGTTTAGTGGCAGGTGGGTTTCTGTTTGGCCTCCCGAGACACCAGAGGAAGAACCCAGCCCGATGAATTGTTCGGACTGCTGCATATTTCACACGTTTGCTATATTTGAGAACAGCCCTGCTACGGCGATCACGGGTCGTTCTCCACACTAATCTCCGCCGATTCCAAAGGCACGGCTGAGTATTCGGGGTCCGATCACGAGGGAGAAGGCGGGGGGGAGAGGAGACGCACAGGAGGGGCTTCGTGTCCTCTGGGTCCTCCTCGTCCACCTCCAGCAGCCAGCCATAGCCGCGCTGCCGCAGGAACGCCGTGGCATAAGCGTCTTTCGGAGACTCGCCGCCAAGGTTCAGCTTCACCTCTGGAGCGTCGATGGAGCCGCTGAGCTCTGTGGGGAAAACGAGGAAAGGAGATCCTGAAGGTCCCGTCTCAAGCTGCAGAACCACACTGGACACTGAAGGTGACCTGGCAAGACTAGGTATGACACGATCAGCAGCTCAACACAAAATTCTTATCTACAGCCATTGGTATCATTATTGATTTATTCCGACGATGCTTTTATCCAAAGCAACTAACATTTTTCCAGTACGTTGGCACCTTCATACAGTACATCTTTACTGCAGCACTGTGCTGGAGGATGCCCCGGCATCTGAACCCACAATCGTCCGGTTACAGCTTCAGAGCCCTGTCACAACACCGCAGATCTGCCTTCACATCTTTCATTTAAAGGAGGCATTTTAACAGTGCCTGTCAATTCCAGCCCTCGAGGTTCACAGACCTGCAGGTTTTCATTTGCCATTTGAACTTAAAAGTTAAGTTGAATGTATTATTTTCATAATCTCATGTTTTTTTTTTAAATGTTGTTTAATCAGTTGGTAATTAAAAGTAAGTCTAAAACCAAGACACTAGACCGGGACTGAAATTGCCTAGCCTTGTGTTACACAAAACCCACATCGGTGCCCTTTATTATCTGCTCAGCAGAAAATCGAATGCATATTTTGCCCAAGTACGAGGGCCAGTCGTGCAGGTACGATAAAGTACAAAAAAATCAGTGACAGGAAGACTAGCACAAGAGCACCGGAACAGAAGAATGAAACACCGAGAATGAAAACAGCACTAATGTCAGCGCCTGACATCGATCTGTATTCCATGTTTACAGTGAACACATGCAAGTTAGCAAATCACATTAGCAGGATGCAAGTTCAAGACATTAGTACAATACAGTGTTATTGAAAGACATAACTGAAAACTGAGAGATCACATCCACATCCTATGTGGAAAAGCCAGTCATTATAAAATAAGAAATGCTTACTTATTTTTGGCAGAAACACACACTACCACCTAAAGCACGAACGACGAAAGCACCAATTACTACTCTGACTCAAGTTAAAATTACAATACAGTGTGTTTTACATATGTGGTTACAGATCAAGCAATGTTATGACTAATATACGTTTATTCCTCAATAAAGGTCTCTCGTTGGAGTTCTTCTAATGTAATGACAGTGTTATAATGTGAGCTCCGCATTATGCAATCCCTGCTGCAGCACATGAACGAGTTGTGTGCTCCCAATAATGACTGCGGGGATCCTTAGTTTATATATGGACAGCCCAGAAAACGACACCCATCCCCGCGACAACTTCAAAAGACTATCTACTCGAGCTGTGTAGCGTAGTTCTCTTCGCCTCCATGTTGTTTACAGGTACGATACACTGTTGACCGTGCGCCAGGGTTCGTAATAGGCTTGAAGACATTCACGAGTTACTTCATCATACTCACCTAAACGTGTTTTATCTTAAGACAACAGAAACGACCATTAGAAGCGTCTTTCATAACAACTACACAGCTAAAACAAACATCAAAACTCTTTTCTGGGTTGTCGTTCACAGTATGACAACAACAACAACAACAACATTAATAATGCCGTATAAAAAGTGCGATTAGTCCTTGCAAGGCCTAGTCTACTGTACCTTCGGCGTCAGTCGAGGAAACGAAGGTAAAATCTCCGTTGGTTGGAGAGAAATGCTGCGCCTGCTGATGCATTGTTGATCTACTGACGGTCACCTTTATTTATCAACGACTGACATTTACATGAATATTTTTTTTCTGAATTCAAACCAAAAAATTAAATAAATCTGCTGTAGGAAGGTTTTCACCACACACAATTTCGTGGCTATTACACCATGCTGCTGCACTACGACCGCCTCGCCCGACGCAAACTAGCCTCGAAATCTCAAAACAGATCCTGGACAAAAAGCAGGAAGTGAAAGGGGAGCTGGGAAATACGACACGTCAAAACCAACAGGGCAGCGCACTCCGCGCCCTCTGGTGGCCAGAGAGTGCGGCTGCACTGCGCTCTGGCTAGGATGTCGTCATTCGTATGTTACACAGAGACAGGTACAGGTTTATTCCATGCTGAAAAGAAGAAAAGAAATACAAAGTTTCGGCTGTGGATCCTTCTTCGGGTGTCAATACTACTTGAACTACATTCGTATAACATGCCTAAAACACCCGGGAAGCTTACAAACTAGAGGCCATTTGGTCCAGCTAAATTGATCCCATAACTCATCCACACCTCTCTTGAAATAAGTCAGAGGATCAGCTACTTCAACATAGTTGGGCAGCTTGTTTTATATGTTTAACCCCCTCTGTTCTGGATCTGAAGTAGAATATCTTGTACTTTCCATTTGGGTCCACTGATTCGTGTTTTACTGTTGAAACAACTAGTGCGTTAACCGATTTTAACATCACAGCCCATAAATATCATATGAGATCTTAAATTGGATGTGAGCATACAAGGTAATGCATGTATTTTGGACTGAAAGGTGCTTTTAGGTGGAAAACACAGAGGACAGATCAGAGGTGAATGCTCAGCTTTGGTGATGTAGTAAAGTTATGGAGTTAATTCCATGATTTAATGTGACAGAAGGGAGAATAATATCAAATCATTTACTATATATGTATTAAAATACAACTAACAAATGGGAGATGGCGTGTTTGTGTGCTATAATTAAAATGAATTGCATGTAAATCTAAGTACAGATTCAAGCACAGAATCAATTTGGACAATTGATTATACACACTGATGGAAAAAAGAAACGCAACATTTTCTGGAATGAGAATACTATAGTTATAGCTTATGTACTTTCACAAAACGTTGTCAATTTGTTTTAAGCCCTCTGACCAGCAATACAGCTTGTGCAGTGAGGCATTGTAACTTGCCAATCACACGGAAGCTCGTTAGGTGCACTTTTACCCAACGAGGTCCAGGTGGAACAATGCCTGATCAGGTCACCTTTAAAAAGGCCTTAAATCAAAGCTTAGGTCATTGCAAGAAAAATACACTTCAGTCAGTTTCCTGTGCATTGCATAATGCCTCGAATGTCACCAGAAGCAAGGGAAAGGGGCTGCTGGCATGCTGCAGGCAGGCATGTCATGTGCCAGCGTTGCCAGACATTACAGAGTAAGCCGCTCCTCTGTGTCCCGACTGCAGAGAAGATTTCAGCAGACTGGCAGGACAGATGACTGAAGAAGAAATTAAATCATTTAAGAAATTAAATAAGTTAACACTGCAAAATAACAATTAAAAACATCAAATTAATCAATAGACAAATAAATAAAAAATATATGCATATGGCCTTAATTTTCGTGTTTTCTTCTTTATGCAATAAATGATGGCAGCGTTTTTCTCAAAGACCTGCAGGTCGCGAGATCTACCGTGAGCGAGTAAAGGCAGCGAGGAGGGCGGCGCGCGCGGCCGCCGGCGAGCCTGGAGGGACCGCGCATGCGCCGCCGCAGGCCTGGCGCTCATTGGCTGAGGGCCGACCAATGGGAAGCGCACGCCTCGGAGCCGGAGATTTGCCGCTAAAGAAGAAGCGGCAGGAGCTGATCCTGCTTTTCAGAGCAGTAAATACATTTCGGACCGCCGGAGAGAGAAGGATCCAGTAATGTGGAAAACAAACATCAGGTCAATTGGGTGAAAGAGAGAGAGGTCAACGTGCTTTTTCCAGTTTTGAGTAAACCCTGGTTTGTATGAGAGGTACGTTCTTTTTAAGCACGTTCGCGTAAACCGTCTACTTTTAAAAATATACATGAAGGATACTTTTCATTAAATTAAAGAGGCGGTTTTTGTGTTGTCTTCGAGTTGCTCGGTATATACGGTATCATGCCTCTGGTGAGATGAGGAAAGTTTTTTTTCTCTCTGACGCACCAGTCAGTGGACAAGTGACTGATTGTATCTTTAATCAAGAGAAGGTTTTGAGGAATCGGATGTAAAAGACCTTAAAGGAGACCCTGCATATGCCTAAGGAAATAATCTGGTTATTTTTAGTTGATCCCTCGGGAACAAATTCAGTTAGAATAGGCGCCCAGGCCTTCAGACCGAGACCTTTGCCGTGTAGGTTAAAGAGACGCTGCGATGGCGCCAAAGCGTGTCGAGACACCCTGGCAGTATGGACGCGTTCAGACCTCGGTCCTCATCCACAGGCCGGAACTATCTGAAGTGTTGGTAGTGTTGTCATATACAGGAACGATTTTAAATCGTGTTTGTGAACTACGGATCGTGAGCTACAAACGCAGCTCTCTTTTTTTAATGGCAGAAGACCTCATCAGTAAAGCGCGCCAGCATGCACTGCTGGACGAATCAGAAGTTTGCACGATGCCCTCACTGCTGCCACTGCCAGAGATTTCCCCACCAAAGTGCGATATAACAGTTATTTGCCGTTCTCTCTTTCTGCCAGCAGGGATTCGAAGGGCCGGTGAGCATAATGGGGATTTCTGGCCTGCTGCAGTTCATCAAGGAGGCCTCCGAGCCCGTCAACGTGAAGAAGTACAAGGGGCAGACTGCTGCCGTGGACACGTACTGCTGGCTCCACAAAGGAGCCTTTTCCTGTGCAGAGAAGTTGGCGAAGGGGGAGCCCACCGACCAGTGAGTGTGACGTTCCCCGTTCCATTTGTCTTATCTGTGTTATGTTCTCCTTTTGCTCCTGCATAGAACTGTTTTGAGTATAAAAGGTTTTAAAAAACAAATAATTGGTGAAAACCTCACTTTCTAAACTTGTTTTAAACATCCATCCATCCATCCATTCACTTTCTAACTGCATCAGTCAGTTCATAGACCCACGCACATCGGGCTGTTTCCCAGAAGCCAGTATGTCTTTGGGCTGTGGGAGGAAGCCCATGTGAATGCAGGGAGAACATACAAACTCCACACAGACAGCACCCAGGTCCGGAATGAAACCCTCGGCTCTGTGAGGCTGCAGTGCTAACATCTGTGCCGCCTGTGTTTTAAACATGTTTTGCCCACGTAATAAATTGGCTGCTATAAGCCAGCTGCCAGACGTGCAGCAGTACTGTAAGTGGCAGTATAGTCGTTGGAGTAGGTCATGCCATCAGTGTTCAGCTTGGTGTTACACTGCTCTTACGCTGCACAATAAGCAGCTCAGTGGCGGTGGTACGTGACAGGGCTGTTAGAAAAGCTATTGTTCTGGTCTTTGTTTCAGATATGTGACGTACTGCATGAAACTTGTCGATATGCTCCTCACCCACGGCATCAAGCCCATCCTGGTTTTCGACGGACGCAACCTGCCTTCTAAAAAAGATGTGGAGAAGGCGCGCCGTGAGTAAGTCCCGCGGCCTGGCCTTGCCTGTAAAGTCAAATTTGCAAAGCCAAAAAAAAAGGACTTTTTTTTTTTTCTCCTCCCCGGGGCGGTCAAGGCGCCGGGAAGCGAACCTCCGGCAGGGCAGGCAGCTGCTGCGCGAGGGGAAGGTGTCGGAGGCGCGAGACTGCTTCACCCGCTGCGTCGACATCACGCCCGCCATGGCGCATGACGTCATCAAGGTGAGCGCCGCGGCGCTGGGTCCTGCGGGGGGAGAGCCCTCAGTACTGATGTCGGCTGCTCGGCAAGCCCTTCTCAAACTATCGGTTTAGTTGCATGGCTATAATTTGCTTACTGTTGGCTGTCGTGGCCTCGGGGTTTGAACTGTCTTGTCAGTCTAAGTGTGGCTGGTGTTGGGATGGGTTGCCATACCCCCTCATGCAGCGCCACCATCCTTTGTCTATACGTTACTACATCGTGGAGGTTAAAGCATGTGAACTTAGCTTTTCCGTGGAGGCGGTCTGGATGTGATCAGCGGTTGATGTGTTTCTGTGCGGGCAGGCGGCCAGGGGGAGAGGCGTGGACTGCGTGGTGGCGCCCTACGAGGCCGACGCCCAGCTGGCCTATTTAAACAAGAGGGGGATTGCACAGGTGGTCATCACGGAGGACTCCGATCTGCTGGCTTTCGGCTGCACCAAGGTGAAGATCTTGAGGGCTAAACTGCGGCTACTTCTTCATACTTACCAAGAGCATCCATGAAAGAGCACCTCCTCGAATCATCCCTGCTAATTAGGATACGTTTGCCGTCTTACGTACAGAAAGATGTAACTGCAACAAAGGATTGGTGCTAATTATAGTCTCTCCCTGTGATTCAGACATAATGGAAGCTGTCAGTCCTTGCCTATTGCCGTTCATTAATCAGGTTTTGCATATTTTTTAAGTCCATTAACAGTGTTGCAGCTTCCATGGTTTAAACACGTCTTGTCCAATGATTGATTTGGAGTATGAGCGACTCACGAGGATCATTTTGAGAAGTCAAGTTTTGTTGTTGTTGTTGTTGTTAGGTGCTTCTGAAAATGGACCGGTTTGGCAATGGCCTGGAGATAGCCCAGTCCTGCCTGGGGAAGTGCAAGTCCCTGGGGGACGTCTTCACAGAGGAGAAGTTCCGCTACATGTGCATCCTGTCTGGCTGCGACTACCTGGCCTCTATCCACGGGATCGGCCTGGGCAAAGCCTGCAAGCTGCTCAAGATGGCAAACAACCCCGACATCACCAAGGTGACGGAGACACGGCACGGCTCAGTGAGGGGTTCAAACGGCCCATAGCACATACACGCACCGAGGTCCATTTATACTGTTGGAGAGCACAGTAGGCAGGCCAGGATAATGTGACTTAGAGAATGGACACAAACACAGGGAGTAAAAGGAGAGTTTTGTGACTGCGGTGCAGAGTTGACCAGCTATAGTCATTTGATTTTCATGAACCCTGACACATTTTTTAAGTTAAATAATCCTTTTCAGAACCGAAGGTTTCCCCTGGACACCAGGAACAGAGGTCTTGATGCTCCTTTCTTTTGTTTCCAGGTGATTAAGAAGATGGGTCAGTACCTGAACATGAGCGTGACTGTCTCTGATGAGTATATCGAGGGATTCATCAAGGCAAACAACACCTTCCTCTATCAGCTGGTCTTCGACCCCCTCAGCAGGAGACTCGTTCCCCTGAACCCCTACCCAGAGGAGATTAATCCCCAGTCTCTCAGCTACGCGGGGCCGTATCCTTTAGTACAGAAGCCTTCCTTCCTCTGCCCTGAGTTGCCACTCCTCCAGCGTCCCCATGGTAACGGATGAGGATAAGTGAGGCTCTGTTTAAGCAAGCAAGGCATTAAGCAGTCTTCAAGGAGGTATTCGCTCACAGGACTGAACCCTTCAAGGTTCAGTTGGTGTTCAGGCAGCTACCATCATAGCAGTAGGTATTCTATACCAAATTATTTTACAAAGTGACTGATGTTACTGGTCAGGTTTCTTCCTCCTCCTCTCAATAAATCTGATTTGGAGCAACTAGTACATAGGCTAAGCATATCTTTCGGCTTTGATGGTTCTATTTCATGAATACATTTTATCTACCAATAATGGTTGCACTCAAAACTCCTCTTATATATGCTCTCGTTAGGAGGGACTTCTGACTTGGCGACTGTAATTGTGCCACCTACTGTCTGAGCTCATTTGTTCTCCCTGGAGTCATACGGGGGAAAATATAAACCGTTTAATTGACAACTGGTGCAGTAGAAAACATAAATAAATGATAAAGCAAGTAACTAGTTAAAAAGTATGCCAGTACATATGTCTGTGACTATTGTATTAGATGCACAAATATATAATTCATGTAAGTGAATTAGTAGGGAATTAAATAGAACTATTTAAGGTTCAAAGCTTCATTACGAAGTGTGCCAAACCTTCAAAGGGAGAAAAGGTATCCCTTGTTAAAACTCAAAATCTTGTTTTCTGGTGTTGATCTGCATGTTTAAGAGAGGTTTGTCTCCCTATGTCTTTGTGCTGCCTTTTCCTTAATTCCCCCAATCCAGTAACATGGGGGACCAGGCTGCCTTGCAGATCGCTCTTGGAAATGTGGATGTCAACAGCATGAAGAAGATTGACGATTATAATCCTGACATCACGCAGGTGGGAAACCGTTTTTGGCAGAGCTTGCCAACAATTTTGCTTGGCAGCAGCTTAAATGTTGATCTTGGCAGGTATTAGTGTGTTATTTACAAAGGCATTGCTTCCACGTGGCAGTTGGAATACAAGGAAGGTTATACGGTAAATGACAGCAGTCCACACTTACTGTTTGATTGCTAGTACATCTCAGTGTCTCATCCAGCCTTCATTCAAGTTGATTTCCTGTCCTTAATTTGTAATTAATTTGAGCTACAGTACATCTCCTCCTGCATGCAACACTGTCCCTATTAATGCTGTATTTATCTTAACATTCTCTGTTAGCTGTGCTCAGGGATTACATTGTTACATCAATGCATGCTGATGTAGTAGCTTCTATTTCATACATTTGGTTCTAAGACTCCTGGTATTTTGGTATGTACACTTAATTACACGTTGTCTTGTTTTTCCCTTTCATTGTCTTTCTGATTTCCTTGCATTTGAACTCTCCCCCATCTTGCATTCTAGTAAAACCAAAGAGGTTTTGAATTTTCCTGTGCAACCTTTGCTCCTTTAGAGTACATGTAGTGCAAGTTAAATTCCTTAAGCAGTGTGCCATTGTGTGCGAAGTGTGTGAGCAGTTGTAATGGAAGTATGCCTGTGTTCTGTGTCCCTCAGCCTGTGAAGCCCAGGAGCCGTAGCTGGACTGATGCCCGGGTGCAGCAAGCCCCTTGTGAGCTCAGTATCTGGAGCAGGGAGTACAACCCAGCTGGGAATACGCGTCTGTTGTCCCAGCCCAGCGAGCCTCGATCTCCCGAGACGCTCTCCACCAGAGGAAAGGAGAAGGTCATCAGCACACAGCCCCTGAAGCTTCCTACCAGGCAGGCGCAGGTCAAGAGGCCGAGAGCAGGTAGGCCTGGCTCCTTCTTCTTAGGCCCTGCATGTTGTACTCTACCCTGAGAAATTTGTTTCGTCTTCATTGCCTGCTTATGTGAACAGTTTGCTGAGTTTACATCATGTTTAAATCTGCCAGAGATTTTCCCTCCTCCCATCCTGATTTTGGGACTGTACCATTTCTCTTGTGCTGATTAACCCCCCCCATCATCTTCCTAGTAGGAAGATGAGAATCTGTAATGTTGTCTCTAGCTGGCACTTAAGGAAGGACTATGGGGGGTTTTGTTTAAACCCGGCGGTGTAACTGGCTCTTCTCTGCAGAATCGAGTATGTCGGAAGAAGTCCTGCTTGGGCAGTACTCATGCTCTGACACCAAGAAGCCCAGGAGAGAAGCAGGCACGCCCCCAGCCGGCAGCAGCATGGGTGCAGGAGAGAGGGCCTCGGGCCCCGCCAGTCAGCACAGGGCTCGCAACAGGTTCGCCACCGTGCTCCAGAGGAGGAACCAGGAGGAGGGACCAGCGGAGGAGCAAGGGTTATGCAGCAGGTACTCTTTCTGTTTCCCAGTGCGATGCAATAAGATGATCCGTTCAGTGTGCTGGGAACACGGACAGTCAGTCAGCCTGTGCCTGAATTAGTCAAGCTATCCAAACCTTTTCCAAGTTGTCTGTCTGGTACTCTGTTTATGTTTCACGAAATTGAAAAAAGTGCCTGGAGACATTTTCAAATGTTGTAAAACATTTGCCGCGTTGGCTAAGTGTATACTCTTCTGCTTCTGATTTTTGTGAATGGGATTATACTTTTTGTTAAGCACTGACCTTCTTTGCTCTGCCCAGGTTTTTTTGCACCACGAGCTCCAGCGTGGAGCCTGAGGCCAAGCAGGAAAGCCCAGTCAAGTCCCATGAACCTGTCCCCGAGGTGCTGTATGTTTCTGGCCAGCACAGCGAGACATCGGATGTGCTGACAAGTACAGATACCGAGTTCCAAGGGAAGGGAAGTTCCAGGGCAGCAGGAGAAACTACCCCCCTGGGCTGTCAGTCCCCCTGTACGTCCAGCAGGGGGTCTGGGGTTTTTGGCTGGTCTGGAAGCCTTGGGGAAAAACCCAAGAATCTCACCTCGGGGGGTCTCGTAGCATTGCAGCAATTTCAGCGGATGAAGGAGAGTTTCTCCTGGAGCGCTCCTCGCCGGAAGCCCTCTGCTCTTTCTGGCTCTCTCCCTGACAAGGAGAACAGGCCTGGCTTGGAGAATGGGGAGCCCAGAGACTCAGGGGAAAGTGGATACTTCTCTCAGCCCAGCAGGACTTCCAGGGGAGAGAGCACTCTGCCTGACAAAGAGAACAGGCCTGGCTCAGAGGAAAGGGAGCCCACAGACTCGCAGGAAAGTGGTTACTTCTCTCAGTCCAGCAGACCCTTCAGGAATGAGAA